GGAGCCCTATTAATGCATTCTGCCGAACTTCAGAGATCGTTTAGAAGTCTTTCTCTCAGTAATGGTGTAAGTGAAGATAAAGTGTGTAAACCGACTGCTATTGTTCCAACTCGCTGGTATTCTCTGTATGAATGTGCTAAAGTTACGAAATCGTTGTGGCATCATCTCTTAATGTTTATAGACTTACCAACATCCCGAGAGTCAGATAAGGTTCAGGCCATTGCTGAGCTTAGTGATTTACTACATCGTCAACTACTGTATGCTAAACTGACCTTTCTTCTACAAGTTTTACATGCCATACACCAATTCAAAAACAATTCGAGTCACAAGAACCACTCCTACATTGTATGTATCATCTCATATGTGTTAATCTACGAGCCGAATTTTCTCAATAATGTGGTCTGTTTACCTTAGGTGAAGAAACAAATTCTATTTTAAATATGCTTTTTGAGGAGGATGCCATTACCCTAAAATCTGACATGGTTGATTTTGGGAATGTCCTTGCTCAGAAATGGCAAGATACAACAGCTAGAAGTGTAGAAGGAGAAGTACAGCATCTTTGGAAAAGTGCTGTTGTCTTAGACCCTTTTTGAAATGTAGTCAATCACAAATCTTTGAAGACTTCAGCCTAATGTTTTTTTTTAATTTCTAAAGAAAGCAAGAAGGATTTAATTTTTATCTTGAGGAGCCTCTTCCCGACAACCCAGAAATGAAGATTTTGGACTATTGGCTTGGTGTACAAGTTCTGCATCCTTACCTGAGTGCTGCTGTCATACAACTGTTATGTATTTCCACTTGAAGTTGTGATGTTGAGTGAAGTTTTAGTTTGATGCATAACATACCAACATTGAAACGATCATGAAGTAGTCAAGATACACTACTGGTCATGTACTTTAACAAGGACATTGAAGGACACTTCGCTAACTATTAAGAATTAAACACTGTTATGAAAGTTCCTTTTGTACGTGTCATTTTTTGACATTAATATAACCACTTTTAAAATTTTATTAAATGGGGTGAAGCCGGATTTTGCCAGGATTTAAGCTTTTGTAAATTTAGCCCAATTTTTACACCCCGATAAATTTTTTATTACAACAATTTAAATTATAGCCCTAATTTGCAGTAATAGCAAAAATCCTATCAAAGAGCATAAGAGAGAGAATGAAGCGAAAAGACTTAGTCTGAAACAGCAATCTACGAGCCTCTATGGCTCTATTACCACTGTATTCTAAGATATCCTCCAGAGTCTCTGTTATAGCTGAGATAGTAGTCTTTACAGCTTTTATTCAACTATGTCTGCAAGACCACCTAGTGTCACTGAGTTTGACTTATCATGTCTCTCTGGAAAAATGAAACTCTGTTTGCTTCTTGAGGAATAAACTGTGGGGTACAATACAGCTGTTCCAATAATGCAAAAAAATCAGATGCAGCAGGTACTCTCTTACAGGAATGAACAAGAGTTACATTGAAGTGATGGGCGTGGCAATGTATATTGATAGGCTGTCCATTTCTTTCCATTATCTTTGCCATGACTCCATTGTGGTGACCACTCATCACTGATGCACCATCATAGCACTGACTTACGCAACCCTTGATATCAATAGTGATATGCTGTAGACCTTCAAGTACATAAGAGGTGAGAATAGCTGCATTTAGCTCATCACATTTTGTATATAATATGAGTCCCTCACAAACACATTCATCCATTACATATCTCAGTACTAGCACCAGCTGTTCCCTTTTGGATATATCCATCGTTTCATCAACATTTAGAGTATAGTAAATAGCTGATTTAATCTCTGAAACAATGTATTCCATCACCTTTCCTGCAAGTACTGATGTCATGCTATTTTGGTAATCTTGATCTAACTGTGTGGCATTCTTTGGGCCAGACTGTATCCTCTGTTGCAGAAGCGAAATTTGGCGTGACTGTAGCTGAACAATGCTTTTAAAGTTGCGAACACTGATAGAATCTTTAGCATTCTGGACTTCATGATGGCCACATAAGGCTAAACCTTGCAGGCTACAAAACAATATCCCTCCAACAGATGCCTAACATACTCTCTGTTCTTTTCTACTTTCTTCAATATGCCTACTTCCAACTGATTAACAATTGAAGAGTCATTAGCTAAAGTAGTTTGGCCTTCATGAAAGAGTAGCATCCTTAAGCTTTGATGACATTTGGTGTACTTGAACGCCTACTTCTTTACCTCGAGCGCGATTCCAATTTGAGTAGCCTGTAGAAGTAAATGACTTATCCCCATTCACACTAAAAAAGCAGCAAGGAAGACAATAAATGCAATCCTTTGATATGAACTATTGAAGCCAGGAGTATATAGTCCTTATACCAGCTGGATTGAAAAGACCTATTCACACTTCCATATCGTTTAGGAAGTGTTCCTTCTGGCTGTACTAGACTGGAGTTGTTATTTTTTGCTTTGTCATCTAGAAGTGAAGAACTAGAACTAGAGGTAGAATCTGTTGGCTGAGATTCCTGAGTAACTGTGATGTAGCAATATGCCAAACTTTGAAGAATTTTTAATAGTACATTAAGTGCCACCAGATATTCAAGCAGATCTGATTACGTTAATAAGTCCATAATGTATAGAAATTATGTGTAGGCCACTGACACAGAGATTATTACACTTACTGCAATGTTAGGTATATCCATATATTCACTTCACTTACTGCTACTTTTGTTGGATGGCCTAGATGTGGAACCCTAACTTTATATGACATTCCTTGTGATACTAATACACCTTCTTTGTATTTGAAGCAAGTGGGTGCTAATCATTTCCAAGCAGTTAAGTCCATTAATATTTCTTAAGCATTGATTGTTAGTGGAAAGTTGGTATGGTGAATGGGAGGTCCATCATCTTAAAAACATTGGTTGTTTAATGTGACTTCTTTGTCAGTACATGTGCAATGTGAATGATTTGTGAGTGTGTGTGAAAACCAGTGGTGCATATCCACCCAGTATTGCTCAGTACAAAGGGATCTAACTCAATTCAGGAAGTGAGATTTATCAATGTACGACAGTGAATATTGATTATTTGTTGCTATAATGGACAGGAGGGTGTGAAAGAGGTGTACTGGCATTGATCCAAATTTGTGTGACTATCATTTATGTAGGACAGAGGGTTAGGAAGAGAGGAAACTGTCATTATGAAATCTGGATCTTGTTTGTGGCTTGTACTACATGTTTATTACAAATAAGAGGTGCTTATGGGTTGTGGCTGTGCTAAAAAATTTTGAAGTCCTGACAATAAAAATTATTTAGTAACATTAAAAATTGTTTTTAAACATGTAATATTTTTCAAGCAGTGATTCTGTATGTATAATAATGGTCATCATGCATGTTAATGCTGCCATTAATGCTGTGCGCATTATTAAGTTAATGCCTGCCAGTGGATGTTGTGCATTTGAATGATGCTGCCATCAGTTCTTTGCACATGTTATATGCTTGCCAGCTGATGTTGTGCATCTTTTATTAATGATTGTTGTAACGTGCATGTTCTCATTAATGAAAAATATTGTTTGCACATTGGAAATACTTCATGTACACAATGATTCAGGTCATGAAAGTAACTTAACTGAGGATAGCATTAGTAAGCAATATTATGTCTGAAATACATGCAAGCACATACATGTATGATCCAATCAGAAACATTGTAGATGCTACCATTATCATTTTTAGTTAGTATGTCACATTCATACATTTTACAGGTACTTGCTTGGCACAATGACTAAAATGTGGTGCTAAATTTTGAAATTTGATGTGATTGGTAATAAAGTTTGTTCACCATTACTATTTGTGCTATTGTTATTACTGTACAGGTATAAAATGTTGTGATGTATTAAATTTCTCGTAATTTGTCGGTGACTTCTCAGCCACAAAAGTTAATACCTTGGAAATGTATGTGCAGCATGAGAACATCAATGACTCAATGCAAGTGCACGTGCAAATGCGAGAAACTTAAACCCCTCAAAATTAAAGAATTGAGAGCTTTTGACTAAAACACGAAATTTTATACCCTTGAAATTTTCTACACATACAATATTAGCCTGTGAGTGTACATTGCTTGCTTTTGATTTGTTTCTATCACTATGCTTTACAGGTAATTACAGCTGGAAATGATTTTCTGATTCGGCAATACTTTTGGAATTTGCAATATAATGAAAGGCAATTCTGTATTTAAATTGTTATAACTAAATTTATTTATTGAATGTAACTTAATGTTTTGTTGCAGCTCCTAGATTAGTAGTTGTATCACACGGTAGGAGGTGCCAGTTTATATTGGTATAGGTTATATGCTACTGTGCATAGGAATATGTAGTAAGATGGAGGGTATTGTGAGATGTCTTATGTACTTTGTTATAGGTTATGATTCTAGGTTACATACTGTATATTTGTTTGATGATTGTACCACACTGCAGGAGGCACAAGTTTCCAACTGCATCCATGTTTCACATTGTCATTGTCTTAGCAATGGAATATGTAGTAAGATTTATGTAGAATGTTGTGAGGTTCCAGTGGCTTATTATTGTGTTACAGATTATGATCAAAGGCTATGATTCTTTTTGATGATTAATGTTGATTACCTGATTAACCATGGCCACAGTAAGCATTTACTTTACTTGTTAATATAATTAAGTAATGTACATAACATGTATTTGTATGGTAGCAATATTAAAGCTGAAGTATCGAATTGTTTTGCGTTGTTGAACAAACACTAATTTTAAGCATTGCTATTATAATTTCTGTTTTGGCTTTACGCTTAAAGATATTTCACTTTTCTAAAGTTTTCAATTTAAAAAGTTAACTTATACGTGTACATACAAGTCTAATAAAAATTATAGTTCTTTGTTGTATTAGCGTAACTATTCCTCTTGCCCCTGGCTTTTCTCCTGGTTCTTGAAACATTGTAAATTTTTTTGAGTTATAACCTGCATTTTTCATGCATATCAATTAACCATCTCTCTATTTCATTTTTCTATAGTACAACAATTTGTCTTTCAATTGGCGAGGTTGCCATATCACAATTTGTCTATGCCTTTGCAGAGCAGCATCATCTCCAACTGGATGGAGTCCTGGAGCAGCAGGGGGAAGTGGCAGAGGACCTGCAGCAACTGGTGGTGGACCTCTAGCCAGAAGTGGAGGACCACCAGCAACTGTTAGTGGACCTCCAGCCATCGGTGGAGGACCTCCAGCCAGGAGTGGAAGACATCCAGCCACTGGTGGAGGACCACCAGCAACTAATGGAGGACTTCCAGCTACTGGAGGTGGCAGAGGAATTGGTGGTGGAGGTGGAGGACGGGGAGGACCAGCATCATCTTGTGGTGGTGGTGGCGGGCCTCCAGATGGTGGTTAAGGCCCACCATCTACTGGTGGTGGTGGTGGAGCAGGACCTCTATGATGTTCACATAATCCATAAACTATAAGATGACAAAATGATAGCTAATGTAAGTTTATAAGTGAACTGACTTGCTTCTTTTTCACAAGAAAACTGTAAATGTTTGAGAGATTTGAGTGCAAAAATGGTAACCGAAGCTGAATGTAAACTGAAATTGTTTAAAAAAAGACAATTGATGTTATGTGTTGTCAATAATGATTAATAAATTATGAGCTAGGCTATGAATACAATTAATGATGCAAAAACTGAAAAATAATGATTGTATCACAGCTGTTTTTATAATGCTGTAAACTCTTATGGTTCTTACTTCAAAATTCTTTCCTAGCAGTAATGAACTGATGCCTAAGGAAAAAATTATAATTATCAATAAAAAGGATTATTAATTAACGAAGTTCAATAAAAAGCATGGAAACAAGAAAAGGAAAAAATTTCTATTAAATAAGAGTAGTGTTGTCAAAATATAAAAGAAACAAGGGGGTTTAGTCAATCATAATAATAATTAATAGTCCAATTAATGATAGTAAACGTTAATTAATAAAGGAATAATTTATACATAAAAATTAAAAAAAAATTTCAAATCCTACTTTGCAGAATTTTATGTAGTAGTATTGCTCCGGCTTTAAAATGACAAACTTTAGTGAAGGTATGATAACCAAACTGCTTACTTCCAGCCTACACAAGCGTAGCGATTCCAATAACAATTCCTTAAAAAGAACATACATTAACATTTTACTTTTTTGATGTTGTACTTAGTTACAAAATTAAAGAATGCATAAGCCAAATTATTATCCATAATTTAGATTTTTAAATTGTGATGACAGTAATTTAGTTAATCAATACAAGCTAAAGAGTCTTATTTATATTTATCAAGAAAATTTACATCGTAGTAACGTAGTGGAGCAATCGATAGATACAGAGTTATAATTATAGTTTAAATTCTATTCATGTTGTGGTCTGTCTATCATCATTTTCTGCAAAGTAGGGTTTCAAATTTTTGTATTATTATATGACTGAATTAATTTTTTTTAAATTCATGTTTATTATTATTAATTGAACTACCGTAGGACGACTAATTTTTGCAAATGCTAACCAACAGCAACCATAATTACCATACATATAGAGATGCAATTTTAATTGAAAAGGACATGATTTTGAAGTAGAGCGCCTGGCTGTAGTGTTCATCTTGTTGTTACTAATCGTTGGTCTCTTTGAAGCTGCTAAAACTAGGTCTTTTCTTCAGTTGCGTCTGCTTATCTCTGGACTTTCAACCCATTTTCACGGGTGTTTCGAATGAATTATTCATGGACATTTAGTTTCCGCAGAAAAATTTTTGAAATTTTATGGTTGCCATGGTGACACTGTGCATAACAACCTTTTAAATAGATTTTTTACTATCTTGTGGTGGAGCTACAGGGTCAAAATGGAGTCTAATTGTTTTAGCAAAACGAGAGCTTCAAGTAGCTCTTGTTCCATGTTACTAAGACTTTCTGGTCAAAAGTTATGGATGAAAAAGGGTGGAACTTACACATGAGTCTTTTAGCTAACTGAAGGTTTTCTCTGAAGTAAGGAACTACTCATAAGGTAGCCTTATGTAACCCCTTTACAAGTAGACTGTTGCTGTACTGCCACGTTTTTGTCTGTTACCATACCAGAGTAAACTGTGTAACGGTATGTGGCCACCTGGAGCTAAAGGTATTTATGGACAGGTACTTAAGGGAGGGGCTTTTGCCTTTCTTTTCTTTAAAACAGAGTTCAAGAGTGACATTAAGAGGTTGAATGGGTAAATGGGATAGTTTAATAGATTTGACAACTATATTACATGTATATAATTCCTTAGTGAGGTTTACTTATTTGAAAGTAAAGAAGTCTGGGCTGTTATATTACAAAGGTGACTCTATTTTCTTTATGTGTTCAATAATGCCATGGAAACTACTTTATTCAAGGTTTTCCTCTCTTTTTTCCTCTATTCGTCCCACTCCCCTCCCTATATTCCACCTCCCAACCTTTATTCGTTCTAGTACTTTTGGCACGTCTGATGTCTCACAGCTCTCATTTGTATGCTCCCTCCACTCTACTAGATTAATAGAAGTAAGCATTACTCTTCTGTCCTTGGCTCTTTTATCTTTCTCTACAAAATAGCATAGCATCAATCACTAAACCACTTTGGATGGACTTCGTCACTATTCTGCTAGATACCTATTGCAAATTCTTCTTGCAATGGTTCTTTGAACTTTGTGAAACAGCAAGACACTCTGTACTGACCTATTTTTTCTACCACAAAGGCAACAGAGCTTCTCTAACAATCATTCATGTGTCATTTTGAGTGCTATATTAATGTCCTTAGCAATACTCTTCTCTTTTGTGATGATTAATGGTCACACCTCACTAACCAATGTTGTACCTACCGCAACTATTCTATTTATAAACTAAATGTCCAGTTAAAACACCCGTGTTTTGTTGACTTTAATAGGTGTGGTTAGTTTAGCATCTTGGCCGGCAATGATTTGCAGCAACGAGGAGGTTGAGTTCCTTTCAAGAAGCTAACAGATGAAGAACGTGCTGCTATTAGTGCATTTGCCATTGAGCATGGTAAAACTGAAGCTGCCAAATAAAATAAAGTTAATGAGAGCACTGTGAGGGGTATCAAGAGAAAATATGAAGAGGCTTGTGACAATGAAGACTCCACAGTAACTTCACTGCCAAAAGGAAGGCGAGGTAGGTCCTTTGTCCTTGGGGAAGACAAGGACCGTGAAGTACAGGACTTCATCAGGGCACAGTAAAACAATGGAGCAGTTGTGATAAAATCAACTGTCATTGCAATTGGTAAAGGTGTCGTAATGAGACAGAACAAACTCTTAAGGAATTTGGTGGCCAAATGAACCTCACAAAACACTGGGCAGAATCAATTCTGCATTGGATGAAGTTTGTTAAACGAAGAGGTTCAGCAGAAGTCCATGTACTTGGTGACACCTTTGAATGTTTAAAACAAAATTTCCTTTCCGATATAGAGATGGCAGCGGGAGTGGAGGATATTCCTAGTCAATTGACAATCAATTAGGACCAGAAACGAATATCTGTTGTGCCTGGGTCATCCTGGACTATGTCTCCATCTGGTTCAAGACGTGTAGAAATTGTGGGTTTGGGTGATAAGAGACAAATCACCGCTGTATTTGGAGCATGACTCAGTGGAGATTTTTTATACCAACCCAATTAATTTATACTGGGAAAACTTCTACTTGTCACCCAAATGGTGTTACTTTCCCAGCAGACTGGCACATTACCCACATTGAAAACCACTGGGCAAATGAAAGCACAATGAAGGACTACATTACTAATGTCATTGTGCCATACATTGAGAAGATTAGGTCCCAAATACCACAAAGCTGTGTCGCATCTCCACAGCCAGCCTTGGTCATTTTTGATGGTTTTTAAGGTCAGATGTGCCAGTCTACCAATGACCTCTTAATGGAAAATAACATTCATTTGGTACATGTGTCACCAAATTGTACCGATAGGCTAGAGCCATTGGACATTTTGGTGAACAAACCTTGCAAGGACTTCATGAGGAACAAGTTCATGGAGTGGTACTCACTTAAAGTATGTGAAGCCTTTGAAAACACTCGAAACCCTAGCCAGACATTACACCAAAAGCTGTCTACCATGAAGCCTCTTGGGGCACAATGGCTTCAATTGTTTTACAACTATATGCAAGCCAATCCAGATATAATTAAAAATGGGTTGAGATCGGCAGACGTATGTGTTACATAATAATCTATTATACATGTACATGTAGAAGAATACAAATTTATACACGTACTTGATCACTTGATCATGATGTGTCTTCTGGGAAAGTCAGAGATAATTATTACAGTATAGTAGTAATGAAACCACAAAAGTGTTGTGGTACATAGTACAAAAAATATAAAACTCTTGATTCTATTGATAATAATGGAATTAAGATTAGGGATGGAAGGTGGGCCCAGAAGTAAAATCTCACTCATTGAAGGGAGATTCCTAGTGGCATATAAATTTAATGTATTTACGTACAGTACATATAATTATTGTGTTTATAATGTGTGTTATGTGTGATGGGATTGTATGATTTACGTATTTGTAAGAATGTCTCAGACTAGATGTGTGAATAATGTATGTACATGCATTTCTCTCTTTCTATGAACAAATCATGCTCTTCGGAGTGATACAAGATCAACAATAATCACGCTCTTTGGAGTGATCATACGAGATCAATATTAATCAAGCTGTTCGGAGTGATGATACAAGATCAATATTAATTGCACTCTTAGAAGTGATGATACAAGATTAATATCAATCACGCTCTTCGGAGTGATGATACAAGATCAATATTAATCACACTCTACAGAGTGATGATACAAGATGAACTTATTTTGTGTATTATGTTTTATATTTATATGTATGATGATGTGTTTGAATTGTACTGTATAGCTAGAAAATTTGAAGTGTTGAAGGCTTTTAACAATTGTGCATGCTGCTGCTGCTAAATTTTTGGCAATACATGGACCCCAATTTGACATGCCTTTGTGAAGTAAGCGTACTGCCCACAGCTTTGTTAGGCAGTAGGGACATTTATTATACCAAAGTCTCCAAAATTTTACTCCAAATTTTCTAATTGTACTGTTAAAGTACTTCATTTAAAAAAAATACTATAGTACAGAACTAAAAATATGGCTTAAAATATGGCTTAAAAATATGGTTTATAAGAATTATAATAATAATGTACATGTACAGTAGTAATAAATAAAATTAATAAATAAATAGGCCTATTTTTAACTTAATATCTATATCTGTAATTACGTCTATTACTATTATTTATAATGAAACTAAGTATTTCGAGGAGCAGTTCCAAATCATTTGCTGTGTGGGTGTCTTCTTTTCACCAGCCTCGTTGGCTCCAAAATCCCCTCCTTCTTCCTTGTCCTCTTCCTCTCCACCTTCCACAACCTAGTCCTTGTTGACCTCTCCTACTTTCTCCTCTTCCACCTCCCATACATTGTCCAACTCCCCTGCCTCTTCCCCGTCCCAGCTGTGGCTCTACAGCTCCTCCATCAGCTTGGTTGTCATCGCCACCACATACATCATTGTGGTGATGACCAACTTCACCACCTATTCCTGCATCTCTACCACCCCGGAGAGGAGAACCAGCTTGACCACGAGGAAGCTGATGAGCAGGTGGCGGTGGCAAATTGGCAGAATTGCCATCTCTTTGTGGAGAATCCTCTATCTAATCCTGTACAAGTAAAGAAATGTAACTGAAGAAGTAAGTTTCAAAAGAAATACTTACATCCAAAAGGAGATTCATCTCAGATTCTGTTTGCCACAAACCTTCAGCCATTTTTATTAAAAATAATTGTGCCAAAAATCAAAACATTATTGACTATTATGAGCGGACTTAACAGTACACTGGTACTGTAAAGAGCAATAGAGAGCAATAGGCAGGACAACTAAGAAGAGGAGAATAAAGCTTTGTTGAGGGACAGTCCTGACACCCAAAAATACAATTAATAAAAAGTGGTAATTTTTTTAATACATAAAATAATTATTTTTATTAAATGAAACTACAGCAGATACAGTGATTGCATAGATGTATCAAATAATATAAATTTAATTATGTGTATAGTTGATGTACATAATGTCATCACTCCAAAGGGTGAGAGATTCTATTCATCTTTTATCACTCCGAAGAGCGAGATTCTATTGATCTTCTATCAGCACACCTAACAGAGAGATTTTATTGATCATTTATCATCGCTCCAAAGAGCGAGATTCCATTGATCTTTTATCATCACTCCGAAGAGCAAGATATTGTTCAGAGAGAAAGAAAAAATTTACCTATGTACAAAACAAACACAATTATATAATACTGGCATTGGATTACACTTATTGTACTGTTCTTCAGTGACATTAGAGCAGACACTGCCATCAGTGCTTCTTAAAAGATCTGCAACTTTGGCAATTAGTTCATTACTTCCTCCTATAAACATAAATCTGCAAAATACCTCAAGACCACCTTGAACCAAATCACTCGAGAACCTGCTAGTACCCTTTACACAAAACATTTTATTACTGTACTAGATTTGCTTAAAGACAACCAGCATAGCCTTGCCATCATTTTTGGGACATGTCCCACTATGGTACCTGACTTGCATACAGCTACTGCATAACAGTCATGAGGGTTGTTCATTTGTGGGCTACACACCAGCTCCTCACCTATACAAAGCTCCCATATATCTTTGTAAACATGAAGACCATAAATACAGCTAGATACATCAAACATAGTGCTGTATTAATGATTTTCACAGCTGAGATACCTTCCCTCCTAATGTAAACATGTGGTCAATTGTCATAGCAACTATCTAATCGTTTCCATAAAAATTTTTATTAGCATTCGCGAAAATTAGTTGTCCTACGGTATTAATTATTATTATGGTTGAACTCAACCCCCTTGTTTCTTTTACTTTTTGACAACCCTACTTTATAATTTTTTAAATTTCTTTTCTATTTCCATACTAGAATATCCTGCTGTTCAGTTAATGAAACCGGATAGTATTAACTGGCTCCGTGCTAATTCAGTGCAGCGCTTTTTTCATGGATTTTGTGTCACTTTTTTTGCTACGTATGACAGCTGCATGTTGAGATTCATGGTATCTTTTCAAATGCTACAGATATGGTGCCTTATGTATACAAGTACTATCATTATATTTGTAGTATTTCAAAATGTTTTTCTTTGCTCCACACAAGTTACACTGGGCAGCCTTATCATCTGATGTTACTGTTGAGTAGTTTAACCAAGATACACTTCTTTTTATACTTTGCCTCGCTAAGTTAAATGGCAGGGTACTTTGATGGGTACTTAAATGAACAAGCTTCTAGCTCTAGTGTCGCATGAGATGAGTTGGGCTCTGAACTGACTTCTTGACTGGAAAATGACAAAACCATAGCTTGTTTATGGAGTAGCTACAGTAGCTAATGAATTTAAATCTTATCTAGCTGTTAGTACAAGACTAAAACTTCACAATAGACCACAGTGATTGTCTAGTAGTCCACTCACGAAATATAAAACTTTTAAATTTTTAAAAATTTAATTAACTGAAATAAATAGGTGCTCATGGCTAATTATTAATAAAGTAATAATTAATAAGAATGGCTAGTTAATTGTAATAAATGGGTGCGGTTATCATATCAAACAGCCCCTCTAAAAAGGTTACTATCAATATCTGCAAATATCAGTAAAATATCAATCACTTTGACGCATGGCCCATCCCTACCGACGAGTATACTTGTCGGTGTT